ATGTTAGCGCTCCCCTTTGTGAGTTTTGGGAACGTGGTGAAAAAGTTAGGTTGGAGCCCTGTAGTATAACTCTCATACATCGTGCTGTAAATGTTTGTATAAACCAACCATTGTTTTTAAGACATTTATTGCCATCCTAAGTGACTGGCATACATTACCATGTATTATAATGTTCATGGAATAATAGAATTCGACATAAGTTCTCTTTGTTTTAATATCTATTGAAAAACCTGTCCACCACTAATGCTACCATCTGGATAGCTCTGTACTATACCCCTTTCAGGTTCATTCATCTTCTTTGATAGGAAATCATAAACATGAGAAAGATTTTTGGTAAACATTGTTATTAACTCCAGTTAAGTTCTTTTAATTTTAATTCTAAATGGTTCCAGGGCCCTTCAGGGCAGCCAGGACCAGAGGGTGGCAGGGGGCGCCCTGGTCCTCCAGGGAGCCAGGGGCCTCTGGGGCCACAGGGGTTGGCCGGACCTAGAGGGTTTCCAGTGAGTGGGTACTTTTCACCTTTCTCTCCATTACATAGTGATGTGAAACTCTGCCATGCTGCTCTCAATAAAGCACATATATGATCACATTGTCATGGTGTATCTTTGTTGTGATATGTGCTTTTTTTCTGATCAGGGAACACCTGGGATAACTGGACTGATGGGTCAGACTGGAGAGAAAGGAGAGCAGGTAACTGATTTTAGGTTGTTTTTTTAAGTTTGAAGACATGGAATATTGGCATAAAATCCTGTCTAACAAGAGCTCCAGTTGCAAGAATCCTGTTATCAGCCTTCGAGAGCTGAAATGAGTCCAATCATTCAAGCACTTTAAGTAATATTAGGACATGTTATTTGTTGCTTTCAGGGAGCAGTGGGTCCTACTGGTGATATTGGTGCTCCAGTTCTGGATGGGCAGCAGGTCAGTTAAATCACTGATCACACATATAAAGCATTCAGACGCAGATAAAAAATGTTTATTGCTTGGTAAATATTTTTTAATAATGACAAATACATTTCATTGATTCCTTAATATTTCAGAAATGTAGTTTATAGTCTATAATACTGAAGAGCCTTGCTATAAATTGCAATATGTTATTGATAAATATGACTGTGCTTGTCATGTCAGGGTCTTCCAGGACCAGCTGGTGAAGAAGGGTCTCCTGGAACAAAAGGTGACCAGGTCTGTGGCACTATTACTGAATTTTATTTAAAAACACATACTGTATGTAGTAATGTTTTAGAGTATCTTAATAAAAGGCTGAAGCACCTGTGACGACACTATTGTTGGACAATGGTTTGGATGTTCAGATTGATTATACTGTATTATTGTGTTGGGTTCTCATAGTACTACCAGCCACACCTCAACTGTTACTGACGCAACTTCGCATGTAGGGATGTCACAAGAACCGATAATTTGCTACCAAGAGCAACTTGGTACCAAATCAAGGAATTGTCTTGTTTTCATTACATTAGGATGAGCTGTTTTTATCTACATATGCCGTTGGTTGCTTTCCATGGTGGCTGCCATGTTTCTTCAGTAGCCCAGAAGGGACAAACCAAACACTGGCTATAGACAAGGGTGTTCACACTTTTTGCAGCCACCATAGTTTCAACTTTGTGCTTGGAAGTGGAATGTAAAGCAAGGGAGTTGCCATCTGCAACTACACTGCTAGATGGCACTAAATCCTACACACTGGACCTTTTTTAAGTTGCTATTTAGTGTCAGCTAGTGTTCAGTCACTGAGCTAATGTGTGCTGTAGCTTGACTGAGGACATTTTAGACCCTGTATTGATTATTAATACTAAGGCCACGTTCAGTCACTCAGCTATCTTTCACGTGTACTGATGTCAGGTTTATATTTAAAAAAATTATTGTTATAAAATAAATCAAACTAGAAACCAAGCATGAGAAAACATGACATGTGATCACTTACGGGGTTTTCAGGTTGAAAAAGGAAAAAAAATACATTCAGCAACAGATGAAATAACTTCTGACAATAACTGACAATCACAGCAGACAATGAATGACAACTGTCAAACTCTGTACTATCCTGAAATAGGGAGCTGTGGGCCCCCAGGGACAACCAGGGCGCTTGGGGCCAAAGGGAGCGCTAGGACCTCAGGGCTCCCAAGGGCTGCAGGGTGAGCCTGGACAGAGGGGCAAAGAGGTTAGATGTATTGTCATTTTATGTAATTGATTAATTGTTTGGGCACAGTGAAAAATGCTCATCAAAATATCTTGATGTGACTTTAACAAATTTGTTTTGTCAAATCAACTTTCCAAAACCCCAAATAATGTTTGTTCAAGAAGAAAAGCAGCAAATTCTCACATTTGAGAACTTTGAACTGTCACTTTTTTGGCATTTTGGCATGAAATATTACCTACAATTAATCGATTATCAAAATAGTTGCAGATTAATTTTCTGTTGATCGGCGAATAGATGAACTGTTGCAGCTCTGATTTCATTCAGCTGCTGGTTGCTGCGCTGCTCGTTCTTTGCTTCATTTTGTTTCTTTGTGCAGGGAGATTTTGGAGAGCCTGGCATTCCTGGGGATCCAGGTGCTAAAGGATCAAAGGTCATTTTCATCTCAACATTGTATTGTTAGCTGATGTAGCATTTCAGACATAAAGATGCTACTGCCGACTTTTGTCATTTTAACCGGTGAAAGCAACAGTAAGTTCAGACTGAAATAATTATTAAAGGCTTTTTTTTTTCACAGGGAGATATGGGAAATCGTGGCCTATCCGGACCAGAGGGGCCTCTAGGAGTCCCAGGAACACAAGGACCAAGGGGGTCAAAAGGAGAAAAGGGTTATGCAGGCTTGATGGTAAATGATAATACCTTTTGAATCCATCAGTCTTCCCAACTGTATCGTTATTTGTTAATTTACTGTGCAATACCTGTCCTCTTTACCGTGTATTTTTATTTTCAGGGTCAAGGTGGCCTGACGGGGAAGGTTGGACCATTAGGCTTATTAGGACTACAAGTAAGTTACCTTCAGCCCTTCAGAAAGTAACTTTATTATTATATTAAGGCTGATCCTTTTTAAATGTGTTGAATTGGTATAATTTCATAGTGCTGTTTATTTGTCCAACTAAAATTAAATGAATCAGAAACCAAAGAGGATACATATATACAAGAGCACAAGAGCCACAGATTGTGAACAACAACCTAACCTTGCTAAATGAACCACCCCCACATGACTAAATGAGATTTTAAGTGGACTAAATATCAGTTGCTGTTGCAGTAACTGTTATTAACTGCTGTTAATGTGCATTTTCTTTTCAGGGTTTGCCAGGTATTTTTGGGATTCCAGGACCTGATGGGCCACCAGGACAGAAGGTTGACAATCTCTCAGCATATTCTGTAGTTCTATTGTCAAAAAAACATGCTCAGGACCAATGTAGTGTTTTTAAAGGATATGTTTGGATGTTAGTAAGTGGAAGAGTTGAAGCATACATGCTCAGTTATCATTATTTGACAGATATATGAATAGAGGTATTTACCTGAGGCTCATTTCTCCACTGTTTAAAGTCAAATTCCTGCTCAAACATGTGCAGTTATGAAGTTTTCAGTTTAGAGTAAGTTGTGGTAATAGAAGTGCAGATAAAGTCGGTTACAGTGGTTACCTGGCTGCAAAGATGCTGGTGGAGCAGATGCAGAAGACCACTTGTGTTTGGAGTTGGTGGGTGGTGCCTGTACAGACCTGACACAGGCACCAAAACACACCGTTTCAGACAGAGTGAATAGAGGTGCTGCAGCAATGGACAGTATGAGAGATAAATAATGTGTTTTTTTAACATTAAAGCATGTAAACATTTTCTAGACTTCTCTAAAGTATAATCCTGAAAATTAGCATAATAACATGTAACATTTAAACCCAAGGGGGATGTGCACTATCACAGTAGGTAGTCTTGGAATATTTTAAAGTTCACCCTTTGAAGAATCCAAAACAATCTCTGTAACTGAAAAGAGATGTATGAAATGTATGTGATGATATACAGTTACTTTTTAATAAACTTGAATTGTCCTCTACAGGGAGACAAAGGTCCTGCTGGTTTGAGTGGGGAGCCAGGGATTCCAGGTCCTAAGGTAGGGAGCACTGCTGCCCAATAGTCATAGCTGTAACAAGAAGCAACAGCCAATATATTAACAGTGTTGCTGTGTTTACCTTCTCTGTCTAACCGTAGGGGGTGGCAGGAAGCCCAGGTGTTAAAGGTGACATGGGAAAGCCTGGAGCAGTGGTAAGTGGAGTACAGTATTACAAAGCAGTACTGTGTTGCTAATGAGATTGCCCAAAAACATTTTAGCTTTGAATTTTCCAACTGCCATTCATACAATGCACAAAGCCATCTTTGATTTTGAGGTTGGGGTCAGTGAGGTACCTTCGACTTTCCTAATCGTAAATCCGACTTCAGGAGGCGTTCCAGTTGAAATTTCCGACTGAACACACCAACAATATTCTGGATCATGTATCCTGGAACATTCCTGGCAGCTACAAAGCCCTCCCCACTCACAGCCCTACTTTGGGCAATCAAACCAAAGACAACAAACAAAGAAAAAAAAACATCCCTGTCAGCCTGGACCCTCACCAGTTTGTATTCTGAGCCAACAGATCCACAGAGGATGCTCTCTCCACTGCCCTCCAGTCAGCCTTCACACACCTTGAGAAAAACACCTACAAAGGCTCTGGACATTGTTGGTTTGTCTTGGCTGACACTCCGCATTGTCACATAGAGGTTGGGGACCGTACCTGTGAATTGGCAGGCCTGAGTGATGGTTCTCATTTTTTCAGGTTTCTCAGGTTTTCGGAGTGTGAAGCAGCCGGGGTGAGAATCAGCACCTCCAGTTCTATGGTTGTTGGTCAGAAAACGGTCACTCCTTCCAGGCTGGGAGTGAGATACTGTCCCAAGCAAAGGGGTTCAAATATCGATCTTGTTCATGAGTGATAGTAAATGTAGTAAAATGGAGCGTGAGATAGACAGGCTGATTGGTTCAGCTTCAGCAGAGACCGAGAACTTTCTGGAGGATTTATATATCTCATCTGGCCTGGGAACTCCTCGTGGTAACAATGGTAAATGGTTAATGGACCTGTACTTGTATAGCGCCTTTCTAGTCTTCCAACCACTCAAAGCGCTTTTACACTACGTGCCATTTACACCCTTTTCACACACATTCACATTCACTCAGTGATGGCAAAGTCCATCAAACAGTCATCGAAAAGAAACTAACACATTCATACACATTCAATTCGGGAGCGATTCGGGGTTCAGTATCTTGCTCAAGGACACTTCGACATGTGGCAGGAGGATCGAACCAACAACCTTCCGATTAGTGGACGACCCGCTCTGCCTCTGAGCCACAGCCGCCCCCTCCTAGGGGATCCCTTAGGAGGAGCTGGAAGGCGTT